CGTGGAGATATTTCCGCATATTATATATAAATATATATTATTATAGTACCTCGCCGTGATTAATGGATCACTTGGACATAACATAATAGTGATATAATGAAGTGTGTACACACAACGCACCGACGTATTGTACACGAGTATCAAAATATATATATATATACGTCGTTATATTATTGCAGTGTGTGTACCCACATGGTTTTATGTCAAAATAATGTGTTGTATTGTTTTATTAAAACTCACCGAGGAATTATGACCACACCGCGAAGAGTCGTCGGCGTTCGTATTATTATATTATATATTATATTATATACCTACCTACTGCACGACGTATAACCACAACCTACGTCATAAACATTTCCGCGCTCTCACCAGTGTGTGTGTGTGTGTGTGTGTAAAATGTGTTGAACATTTTTAACTGTGAGAACATCCTCGTAATTGGATTTAAGGGTTTGGAGAGGGAAAAAAACCCGACAAAACGCATACGCCACACGTGATTTTTTTTTCTCTTAAGCGTCGCGTTTAAAAACGTGTTTTCGTCGTTTTATTACTATATAGGTACGGTTTTTTTTTCTTTTTTTCGGACCCATTGACCGAGTGGGGTAAATCATTATCACCGCGTATAACACTGCACCAGCCACACCGCCGCCACCGCCCTCGCGTTATATATGGGGCCCGGCAATACGAGTATAATAATAATATATTATATACAATATACAGTCGTAGTTATAAACATAATATAATATATTATAATAGTTGTAACCATGTGTGTGCTCGCGATGGCGATTAGATAATATTGTATAATGGTATTAAAAAATCGTAAACCGTAATCGACGAGAATCGTCGGTAAGAATCCGTGTTTTTTTTTTCAGGAAAACCAAAGTCTTAGACGATAACCGTGTAAAATACCAAAAATAAAACAAATAAATAAATAACGGCGTTCGCTAGCGGGAGACTTAAACGTCGTCCTGCATAGAAGTCGCATTTAAGTACCTATACTATACATAACCACCAGCTATACCCATGAGTCATGAATATACGCACTACGTCTACCACACTGCATTTGAAATTAAATACGTCACAAACACGAGCCTGGGCTTGACTGAGTCGATATACACAAGTCGCCGACGCTACAATATCTCCCGTTACCGCGATTTATCATGGTTTCCCGATCTCGGTATAATATTATAATATACGCGAACCGGAACCCCGACGCGATATCGTTGTCGTTATTGTTATCATTAGTGCAGTGAGCGGTATAAGTATGTATTTCGGAGAGTGCTTAATAGATTATTATTATTATTATCGTTATCATCTTCGTTATAGTATATACGCGGCGCGCAGGGAAGCTCGGGGGAAGTTGTAAAATAAATTTAACAGACTGATCGCGAAAGCGATTCTATTCGATCATAAGATAACACATATATATATATAGGTATATAGACAGGTGCATATACTGTGCAGTATAAAATATAAATAATAACGAGCGTGAGAATACCTATCGATAAAAATGTATAAGACAATTATGGCCGAGTGCCTACGTTCAAATGCGATTAGGCAAACGGTCTATACACATATATTATATTATACAATAGACGTATACGAGTTTGTATATTATGGAGAAAGCCGAAAGGGCTGTCTGCTATCTTCTGCGCAGTAAGAGCCACGATTTAGGGATGTGTAAAGATAATACGTTCTACCGTCAATCGTCGTCATCGATCGTATGTACGCGATAATCGCTTACGAAGTTGAGTCGACCATCATTATTGCTACGTCCGACGTCGGATGGATGAAACATTTTGACGAGATATCGGCCATGTGTGTCGTAAATATTTATTTTGTTTAAGTATACACATTATGTACTTACCGATTGGACTTGCATTGGGGTGGTGAACTGCAAGTTTTACCTAACCTAACCTGCAAGTGAACCAGCGAATCGTTGTTATACACGCTCGAAAAAGGATCAGCGGTACGGTTATCTATTATGTATAGATGCGCACCGCAAGTTAACTGCTGTTTAGCAGCCGTATATAAGCTATTATTTTGATTGTGCAGAGATGTATTTGAAGTGTGGTCTGTGTAAAAAATAACATATCCATTAAAGAAAAATCTTTTCTGGCGATGCGAAAACACGTTGATGTCTTAAAGTAAATTTAAAAATACAAGAATAGTTTAACATTTCAAAACGGACAACGGTGAAAAATAAGTAAAAATTGTGTTAAAAGTCTTAAGCAATACAAAATTACAATTTATATAATAAATTCACTTTGAATAGTATAAGGAAATGATATGTATAAATACAATTCCGAAAGCTAACCCAATGTAAAACTGAAGTTTCAGATACGTTTCGCAACGTTTGATTTTTAGCATTTTCATGCAGTAGAAAGGTTTTGGCATAATATAATATATATAAAGTCAAAATCATTACAGCCGTACAATGTGTATATGAAATCTCCTCCTTATAACGGTCGACGTATATAATAAAAATAATAATTGCCCATTATAATACTACGCGATATACGTTTGTATCGAAATTAAAATAGGACTTCGCAACCGGTTGCGATGAACAGCAATATACGATGACAACAAACGACCCTTGCGCCCATGAGTATATAGTAATATTATACCGACGCAATAACCACTGCAGCTGCAAGTCTGGTCGTGGTATATACCGAAATCGCGGTACCAAAAAAATTGGTAGGTGCTCTATTGTGCAAAGTTGTCGTCTACGACGGTCGTCATTGTATGCACCTATATTATGTGCCTTAAAGCCTTTTAACCAAAGGAAAAAAAATACGAACGTAGTAGCGTTTCGAGTAATAAGTTATCCGACCGGAATGACACATGTTCGGCTCTATATATACGTGGCCTTTAATGTACACACACACACACACACAAAAAGAAAAGAAAAGAGGGGGTGACGTTGTAACAACTTTCGGAAAACTTGACGACGTTATCGGGTTTAATTTCGATTACAAAGTTTTTCGGCTTCAGCTCGTCCGTTCGTTTTTTTGTTACGCGCTGCCCATTCATGCGTAAGACGTCTAAACATTAGTACATAAACAATGTAATATGATGTAATTTTAAAATTTGGCCGCGATATTGCACCGATGGCATAATCACTGGTGGGGGGGAGGTGTCGTATCTCTAAATAACTTTTTTTTTTACCAAAGACTGCATTTATCTATACTCGTTTAACACCCCATACTATGGATATATTATACAGAAATAACACAATAAACACACCGAACGTGTTAGCTGTACACGATTAAGTTAATAATATTAACACGTCGTGATTAACACTATAAATTATTGTGAAAAATACAAATCACCTATATCATAGTGGTATAAAGTGTTTGGTACAAAAACAAACCACTGCGAGTGGTCTGATATTATTATTGTTTTTACATAAATTGTATTATACTATATAAGGTTAACCTGGTTAGGTATAATATTAATATTGTTTCGATGCGTGCAGTAATGGGCACAACAATTTCATCCCTCACCACCACCACAGACATCACATCAAAATATTGCAGCTTCGTTTAATCGGTGCATATAATTAATATAATATCTGAAGTTATGATTTGCCTTCAGCAGATAAGCGGCGGCAGCGGCACTCATACATATGTAATATGTATACTATTACTATATAGTACCCCAAAATATGTATATGGTAAACCGCTGGCGTGTTTACGGGCCGGATGTAAAAATACCGAAAACGCGTACAATATATTATTATTATAATATTATTAAACACATTCGCTCACTCGGCGCACCGGATCCGCACCCCCTAGGAGACCGGAAGTTCGGTGGCTCGGTGGCGGAGTTATACATTATAATATATGAGCGATTCGATGTATAATCACACGCGGCGGACTCTCCACATACATAATATCAACCCAACCGGCGGTGGACCATGCAGCGTCATATTATTATTATTATTATATTATATTAAACACACATTAAGTAGGAGGTGCTATAAATGTTATACATCATTATGAGCCGCTCGCGATTGTCGGTCGGTCAGGGGTGGTTTTCCGCGTCACCGGTATATGGTGTTTGAGACATGTAAAGGCTACCTATGTAGGTTGTAAATGTCGGTACAAGGTGGTATTCACGCACACAACAACAGTGTAACAATAATAATAATAATAATAATAATAATAATAATACGTCGTAATTCGGTAGGGCCTCAGGTAACCGCAGCGACGTGCGAGTATAGTAATAATAATATTATAATCTATAGGGCACATGTGTGTGTGTGTGTGGGAAAGAGGAAGGAAAAAACGTTCGCGGTAGTGTATTATTATTAATGATTGTTATTTCGACGACGACGACGACGACGACGACGATAATATTATATTATAATATTAAATCGCATTTAAAACGTGACCGCACCACACGCGCGACATTTTTTTTTCGACAGTCGCCGTCCAAACGAATTACCGACTCGACAATAAAACATATAAATTATTATAATGTTATAGGTACGTACCCATAACGTTCCGACGCCCATAACGTCGTGTGTGTGTGTGTGTTCTCCGGGGTACCACGACATTTGCATAATATGTGCGTATTGTCGTTATATACCCACATACCCACACGAATATTACAATAATAATATTATTGTTACAATATATTGCAATACGACTATATAATAATAATAATAATAATAACAGTGAGTGCGTGCACCTGGAGAGTACGCGCCACCGATTTCAGCGAAAATGCCTAGCTCGTTATAATAATATTTGGGTATTTATTATTTTATCGTACAGCCACCGCTGCCGATCCCTGCTGTGGAACTTATCAGACGCCCGTGGCAAAATCATTTGGTCCTACGAACTCATAGCCCCCCCCCCCGCGAGGGACACACATCCGCTCACGAAAATTACCTCTAGACCCGTCCCTGCCCCAATAGATTACAAGACGTAATTATTAATTCCTATTGTACTGCCAATGTGTGTGTGTTTCCGCTATCACAATAACCTGTATACAGAAGTCTACGTAATGTTTTCTCGATCGCCACGTGAGATCTTCAAATTGCTGCAGCACGACCTACGATTTACGCATTTTGAAACATAATCATATGACCCGCAGCAGCAACGGACGTCCGATTTATAAAACAGGTGTTTTGGACACCGCAAATCAATATTTTTCCGAAAAGGATCTATAACGTCCAAATTGTAAACGAAAGGTCCACAAAGGTTTACTGCTACACTACTCGCCGGTAGACCGCACACCATATGACAGCCAGTCGACTGTTCCCGTTTCCGATAATGATTATGACCCATGTTTAGTTCATCTAAAACGATAACAGTTTCACAATATTGTTATCTATTAATATGTAGCCGACGTCGACGAGCTAACACTGCTAACAGATAAAATAGTCTATACAAATGTGCGGCCTAGTGAATAGCACGATTGGCAGGCCGGTTGACTTCATTCGCAAAATGTGTTCCGAAGTCAAGTATCAGCAGGTGTCACTAGTTCCAGGATGGCTGACCACCCTGGTTCTAGTGCCAAAGCTTTGCCACATATACCCACATGTTCTGACCCACTTCTCCCATAGTTAAAAACCTAATAAAAATAATATTGTTAAATATTCTATTTTATCACAACAAAAATATTAATGTCACTAAAAAGAAATTGTTAAATATTTTTCTTAGAAATTTCTCTTGGCAATTTCCGAGGGTCAGAAATTTAAAAAAATGTCCTACTTACATCACTAGGTAGTTTTAAGTTTTAACGATAATTATTTCTACACCGAGACTTCTGCGACCAGGTATAGCGGTGAACTACTGTTATTTCTACACATTATATAATAGGTACGGGCAGACAAAAGGGTGGTGTATAGAAAATCTGCAACATTATGTACTCTATTCCAAATACGGTTATGCTAAGACAAAAATTTCGAATCTATGCGTATAATGTTTGCGTCCGCATTTCGATCATGACCATATCAGATATTGAGTATCGCGACCATAATACATGGTCACGGAGTGCGTATTATACTATCTCCGCCGCCGACCTTTGCGCACCGCTCCGTCCTTGCTGCTTCCAAGTAGGTACCTACTTATAAAATATTAGAGAACAATATAAAATAATTCGTACAGAGCATAATATATGGACAAACCGTGTTACACATTCCGAAACGTTTCGCCGCCGCACAGGTATAATATTATAATGACGTCTGCAGTGCGCTCCGATGGGTATAAATCTCCTCGGCGTAATTATCGCCCCGCAGACCGATGCCGCAGACGGATTCGCATCGAGATTCTTTCGGGACACAAATATTATAAGTGCTTTCCTGCACGGTGTAATACAATAATATATTATATTGTAATGAAACCGCTGCAATTATTTACAAGCTCCACACACGGGATGCCGCGTTCTCACGACCTGATTACCGCGAATACCGCGTTTGCGGGACTGGATACCGGTGCCATCAACCTATACCCGTACAATGTAGGTAGGCACCTCCCGATGCCTGTAATGCCCGCAAGACGCCGCAAATTATTTGTCTCGAGCAATATCGATTCCGCTATAGACGACGCGCAAACCGTGATCGCACCTTATACCTGAAGCACAGGCGGGTTGAAAGAATTTCATGTATATAGTCGTACAAGATGTTTGAAATCCCTACTTTTACCCACCAACCACGACTTCATGGTCATAGATAATAAATACATGGTTCTCTATACACTTTATACCCGTGGTATACCGCGTGAGCGATGAGTCTACTTATATAGTTACCATAATATGGTTATATACATGTGGTTACGATTTAAAACTGACAATTTTTTATCGATCCCGATTTTTGAATCAAATATACTTCCTCATATAAATGTTTGTATTGTGGTTTCCATTCATCACGGTTCGTTTCTATAACTACCATCATACCCTAATTGAAATTAAGACCATTAGTAACCTTCGACATTCGTTTGACCAACAAAGTCACGAATTGTACGTAAAATGTACTTACGATAATTTTTCGTATACGATACGCACCTATTCATAATACAACAATCCTGCAGTGGTGCATAGAGGACTTCCAAAAAATATTCTCGCTGCTCCTTACAACATATTTTCTATTCGCACATAGGCAATCCTCAAAAATGAAATATTATAATATACATATTGAGCTTCACATGACATCTGTACACCCACCCCCTCTCAAGAGCGAAGGCTGCAGTTGCACTACTTGGCGACCCGTGTGGGCTGCAACCACGGTCTTCCGGTTCGCGGTACCTTAGCAGAAAATAAAATCATCCTCGCGGAGAATCTTTTCGCCCTAAATCTTTTTCATACAATCAAACGCTTGTCAGCAGATGTAATAATAGCTGCACTCTGTGGGATATTATTTCGGAAGGCGCATTGCCTGCGGTTACGGCGATTATCACTCATCAATTACGACTGCGATCGCTGCAGCAAAAGAGGCGTCTCTCTTAATCGTTGAACAGTGGCGTGCGGGAAGCCCCAACAGCCCTGCCGGAAAATTATCATGAAAAGCGAATATTGTCGCGTATAAAATATAGGTAACGAAAAATCGACAAACGTCGAGTGCAATAACATTCGTACATACCCGAATGCCTGCGACTTTTGAAATTTAATTTTTGTGCCTCATATCCACACGATAATTTGGCGCAATCGAATGATTGTCCATCACACACACACCAGTGCAGCTGCACCCTCTCAAGCCAGTCGCATATCGTACGCGGGCCACACGAAGGTTGAGGTAATATTTTGTACGATGACGCGACCGAGTCTGGGCACGCGTCATCGTCTATCTCTGCAGCGTCGATATAATAATGACATTATAATAATAATAATAATAATAATACACATAATAACACTATCATAACGTCGTGTCGTGTGCGCATAATATATAGGCGCCGCCGACACGCGGTCGAGCAGTGAGTTTCGATTTCATTTGATCTTACACATGTTGTACCTATATATACAGGGTGATTTTTTTATCGAAGAACACTCATTATTTCAAAAAGTATTAATGTTTAAGAAAATATTTTTTTACATGGTTTCAAGTTGTTAAAAAACAATATTTTTATTAAAAAATTATATTTTTAAATATTTTTTATCCTTTTAATTTTTTAAGTTTTTTACTTTTTTGAATGACAACATCTAATTTTAATTTGATATTCAAAAACAGAATATTTTTCTGATTATTTTAATACATAAAAATTGAATTTAGGGCAAGTAGTTTATGAGTTATAAGTATTTAAAGTTTAGATGAGCGGAGTAGAGGACAAACATTTCGCGGGGTAACCCCGTACCACTCTACTCCGCTCATCTAAACTTTAAATACTTATAACTCATAAACTAATTGCCCTAAATTCAATTTTTATGTATCGAAATACTCAGAAAAATATTCTGTTTTTGAATATCAAATTAAAATTAGATGTTGTCATTCAAAAAAGTAAAAAACTTAAAAAAATAAAAGGATAAAAAATATTTAAAAATATAATTTTTTAATAAAAATATTGTTTTTTAACAACTTGAAACTATGTAAAAAAATATTTTCTTAAACATTAATACTTTTTGAAATAATGAGTGTTCTTCGATAAAAAAATCACCCTGTATATATATGATATACCTACGCCCGATGCAAACGCGACGGACACGCTATTATAATATATTACTATTACTATTATATTATATACGTTATTATTATCATCGTCATCTTCGGTTTTTTCTTATATAGAGGTATACGCGTTATTCTTCCCCGTCTTCGACATCATTATTATTAGCGTTGCACGCGCCGGCCCGTCTCCACGCCCCGGCCATTCTTCTCCTGCGCCGCCGTACCTATACAGCATTATACCCATAATATAACATTATTATAACACATACGAATAAGTGTGTGCAGTGTTGTGTGTGTATAGAGGCACTCACTCCGCCCCGCTAATGACATAGCTTATACCTATCTGAACACGGCACTATACAGATAATATGTATGTAGGTACTATATATATATGATGGCCCGGCGAAAAAAATATTTATTTCGATATACAGATCATCTAAGTGGTTTAGTCTAGAAAAAAGACGGTTCCTCCGAGAGAGGCGACTTCGGTGTGTCCTCCGCGGGGTTTTCGATGACGATCGTCCGTTTAATATTCGTTGTTTGGACCGCCTGCAGTCCCTTAAGTCTCACACCTCCCGCCTCACATCACACAACCAATCCTAAGGACGGGGAAATGACAAAAGTGCGGTGGACTTTAGTTGAAGTCATACTATATGGCATTCTTTCCGTCCTCTACTGAAATATATCGTACCATATCATAAAAGTATGTAATTAGTTACGAACATCATAAAGATCACCACCGTAACCACTGCACCCCCTCACCACCATATGACATCGACGACGTCCTATTGCGTATTCGGGCGATGCGTAAAATCCTCGGGACGATGACGGGTGCCCAAATAACATCCAGGTGTCCCATGCACCAGCCATATTAGCTATGGCATTCTTTCCATCCCTTACTGCAATACTGTACCAAATAATAAAGAATATATTATGTATTTAGTTGCGAACATCTTTAAAAATCACCACTGTAACCACTACATCCCTTCCTCGCCATATGACATCTCGACGACGTCCTAGTACAGGCCATAAGGAAAATCCTCTAGACGATGATGATGGGTGCTCCAGCTACATCCTGGGGTCCCGCACGCATACATCATCACACGAGATGTACTAATACAATAAGGACGGTTAATAGTTACCTGTGCGTGTCGGACGCGTATAATATGATAATAGCATTATTATCATTATTATGTCGTGTGTGCGACCGGCACGTGGGCAGAAAACGACCGTTCATTGTTCCAATTCCGTCGCACAGGTGTATAATATTATTATAATAATAATAACCTCCGATTTTAGACCCGGCCCGGACTCTCGAGAGCGCACACGTGCATTGCTCGCATATTGTTATTTGTAACGAGCGAGTAAAATTCGAAATAATTCTATACCTAGGACCTATTATAATATATTATATATATCTAGGAGGTATCGCCTGGCAGTGTTATTATTACAGACAACCCGAAATGTCGCTCAGAGTATAGCACGATTGTCTCCGCGAGCGAACATACGTGGTCGGATCGTTTTTTTCTTTTGGTCGTGGGTTTTAGGGGAGTGAGGGGGGGTTGTGTCGAGGGTTTCGTTATCCAAAGTATAATATATGAGGTGACCCAAATAATATGTATTATTCAATCTGAATCCGAGAATAATAATGCTTAAATATATAGTAGGAAAGACATCATGTCGGTACCTATA